GCATTGTCTGCGTGCCTAAAGAGCGCTCTTGACAGTGGATGCTCGAGGGAAAACGCCGGCCTCGACGCTGGGTCCGGGCTCCGTGTCGTGGTCGGAGTCCGTCTCGGCCCCCCCTCGTCGCGCGGCCGGTTCTTCGTGAGATGGTTCAGCGGCATTCCTTGCGAGCTTTGCCGCTTCCACGGCTTCGTTTCTTGGCGGTGTTGCCTCGGCGGCTCTGTCGGCCTGTGCACACAGTGGGACTAGACGCTTGCCGGGGGAGGTGTTGTGCGCCTTTGGGGTGTAGATTCTCTCCGGTGCCTCTGCTCGCTGGAAAGCACGATCCAGGGCTCTCTCGTCGTCGGCCGTCCATCGTGGCTGGCGCGGCAGTGGCTTTTTGGGGGCCTGCAGGTCACGATGCCGCGTACGGCTTGCTTTCTTTTTTCTATGGCTTTTTTCGTGGCACAAGTCCTTACTTGCATTCCGGCCGTGATGCCTTCTTCCGTCGGGGTGTTCTTGGCTTCGCGCCGGAGGGCGGGGTCGTGTCCCGTCGAGGTGCGGTTGTCGGGGAGGTTTTCCAGGCCTCGTGCGTGCATGCCCGTGTGCTTTCCTAGGATTTCTGAGGGCGACGGCACGAGGTGTCAGCGCGCCTCGTCGATCTTGATTGTTCCGCCCTCGGCCGGTGGGTTCGGTGCGCAGTTGCGCGACATACATGCGTGTATACACGGGTTCTCTCTTCGGAGGCTCTGGGGCATGCACGGGCGTCAGAAGTGTCAGGCTGCATCTCCTAGCCAGGTAGTCCTTCTTGAACGCTTCGAAGTCCCAGCCGGTCGCCTCGTGGTTCGGTGCGCTGAGGCCGTTGAGGTTTCGGGCGGGGTCGGGCCGTCTGCGCGTGTCGCATGCGATCCCACCTGATCGTCGTCGTCTGTCATGTCGGCCCACCGTCGGCTGCTTTCGGGCTGCATGATGGCTTCACCTGCACGGGCGGGGGAGCGAACCGTGCCTGCTCTTTCTCTCTTACTGTCGGAAGCAGCTTCGGCCTAGATGGTTCTTCAGGAAGCGGGTCTCTGCTTTTGAGGCTCGATCACGAATTGGGCTGCGGTGCCGGGTTAAGGTTGGTGTGCTCTTGCTGCAGGCACGATGTCAGCGTCGTTGGCTTGCTGCTTGCAGCCGACTCTCCTTTTTCGCTTCTGCTGCTGTGGCTGCAAGGCGCGGTGCTCCTTCGCGGCCGGCGCACGGCAGAGGTTGTGTGAAACGAACGACTCTTTCATAGCTCTGTGCTGTCAGCATGCCTCACGTGTTATGGGCAAGGACTTCCGTGATCAGTGGCCCGTCTAACGTCGTGCGCACTGCTTGGTTGCGGCTCCGCAGGCGGCCCTGGGCTGCCGCTGCTAGAGCAGCGGATGTAGCAAGCTCTTCCCGCTCCGGCAAAGGGTTCGACATGCCGGCGATTCGCAGCAGCTCTTCGCCGGCCACCGTGGTGAACACCATGTCAACAGCATTTTGCGGGACGGGTGTTAAGCTGCCGGTGACGACCAAGGGTGAGGGCACTTCGCGGACGTAGACCTTTCCGGCAGGATAACTGATCCAAGTATCATAGTCCAGCTCCTCAGCCTCGAACACAGCAACCTGGGCATCTGCTGGATGCCACTGGACGAATCGGCACCGCAGTCTCTCCACGTAATCGGTGGAAAAGAAGAGCAGATGCCATCGAGGAGCTGCTTCAGTGGTAAAGGCCGCACCGTCCGAGTCAATCAATGACCACGAGCCAGGACCGCCTTGCAGACGCCGGCTCCACTCCAGACGGCGGCCCTCCATCTAGTTAGTGGGTGCTCTGAAGGAAAGGACATGCGAACTTTGAAGCTGCAAGATACTGCTGCGGAACACAGGATGCAATGCTAAAGCAGCATCTGCAAGACTGGAAGCTACATGCTTCGACCTTCACACCTAGAAATACTCGTGAACGATGCTCGGGCCGAGCGTGTTTTCACACCTGCGGTTGTTGCCTTCCATGAGAAACATCCCCAGCTGTATTTCGGCTGAAATACGGTATGTCTCTACCTGGAACAAAGAGGGAGCTTGCCAAATGGATTTCCTTCATAAAATGGACGGGAATAAAGATTGCCAGGTGGTTCGCGGGCTACCAAGCCGGTTTCCTTCATAAACTGGACGGTGGTGAGGATTGTCAAGTGATTCGCAAGCTCTCCAAGCCGATTTCCTTCGTAAAATGGACGAGGATACAGATTGTCAGGTGGTGGGCGGGCTTTTCAACTGGACTCCGGAGGTCCTCGCGTAGTTGTACTTTGGCATTGGAAGGGAATCAACGTAAACATAAAGCAAATATGGCCTTGTCTAGTTGTTGTCAAGATGCGACCAAAGCCGTACCTTGGCTGCGGACATGTACATGAAGTCTGATTGCAGCCAAATTGCATTCCAAGGTGGTATACCTTGGCTGTGACGTGATGAATCAATGCATGTGCGGGAAAGTATGATGGTATGATGAAGCGTGAAGGTCTTTGAAGGCACCCCTTACCAGTGATATAGGAGGATCATCTTGCATCTGCAGGGGCTCTCATCGCGGATGTATCTTCCTTAGGTCTTGGCTGGCAGCTTGGTTTGGAGCGGACCTGACGTACGACATGGAAGGGAAACTGCGAGCTTGCAGGCGTGCAATTGCAGCTTAGTGGCCGTTTCTCATTGCCGTCCCTCTGGTAGTGCCTCGGCAGCGGCACAAAAAGGGCGGGATGCCAAGCTGACGTGGACATGTACGTGTCTGATTGCAGCCAAGTTGCATTCCAAGGTGGCATACCTTGGCTGGGACGTGCTGAATGAAAGCGTGTGTGTGAAAATATGATGATATGATGAAGTGTGAAGGTCTTTGAAGGCACCCCCCAGCATACTTAGCCTGGGATGGCCCAAGAGGTTTTCCTTCTAACGCCCCAATAAGCGAAACAATTCTGCAAGAGGTTTTTTCGTCTAACGCCCCAATAAGCGAAACAATTCTGCAAGAGGTTTTCATTCCTGAAGCCCCAATAAGCGAAGCAATTCTGCCAGAGAATTTGGTTCCTAACGCCCCAATAAGCGAAACAATTCTGCAAGAGGTTTTCCTTCCTAACGCCCCAATAAGCGAAACAATTCTCCAAGAGGTTTTCATTCCCAAAGCCCCAATAAGCGAGGCAATTCTGCCAGACTAACCCTTGAAAACTCCCGGAAAGGCTTGTGCGGACTCGAGGTTTGCGTCTAGATTCTAGATGCAGTCTGGAGGCGGCTCTCGCCTCATCTGACCGCGCCTTGGCGTCGGCAGGGAAATTGATGCAAGCATGACGCAAGCATGACGCAAGCACGCTCTAGACGTGGACATGTTTGATTGCAGCCGAGTTGCGACCACCAGAGCAATGCCTGGGCGAGCACATGTTGAGTTAACATATATGTTGATGATGGCCGTGGACACGCACGTGTTTAATTGCAGCCGAGTCGCTTGCACCAAAAATCAGTCCTTGGCTTGGACATGTTCACTGAATGCATGCGTGGGAAGTATGAGAGTGTGAAGGTCTTCGAAGGCACCCCCCAGCGTACTTAATACTGGGATGGCCTTATTTTAGGCGCCTTATAAGAGAATGTCCCGCAGCACACGCTCCCTGCTTCCCCGATGTTTCTGGTCGGATTGAAACATCCTTCGCCCATATGTGTTCACCGATTGGAGATAGATCGGATCCCCGGTAGTAACGCGCACCCGCGAGCGAGTACACGCGTTCCCGGTGACAGGCTCAATGGGAAGCCCCCTTGGCCCTTGGCACTGAGGAAAACAAACCGATCCTCGCGCAAAGCGCGTCCGTGGCACACATCCCAAAAGTATGCACGCGGCCTACTTTTGGAATGCTCAAGGAAGGCACCTCGGCTCTTTTTAGGTATTTGGAGGCCGCTTCGCTAGTGAACTGGCGCGTACAGCAGTCGCTGCAGTTCAACGCCATTACTAGCTTCCAAAAGACAGTTAGCATGTCCCCTTAGGGGGCGAGCGGAGGGTCCAAAAGCGCATTGTGTGTACGGCTCGGGTTCGGCGGTTTCGGTGCTTGGCTGCCACTTGCCAGGCCTCATAAATTGCCGGCAGGTGGCAATCCTAAGGGGTGTAGATTGTCAGAAGGTGGCAATCCTGGTGGGGGGGGGGGGGCTAGATTGCCAACAGGTGGCAATCACACCTGCGTTTTTGGTGCTTAGCTGCCACTTGCCAGGCCTGATGGATTGCCGGCAGGTGGCAATCTTAGGGGGTCTAGATTGTCAGAAGGCGGCAATCGTAGCGGGGCACAGATTGCCAACAGGTGGCAATCACAGGGGATCTAGATTGTCAGCAGGTGGCAATCTTGGGGGGTACAGATTGCCAACAGGTGGCAATCTTAAGGGGGTACAGATTGCCAACAGGTGGCAATCACAGGGGATCTAGATTGTCAGCATGTGGCAATCTTAGGGGGTACAGATTGCCAACAGGTGGCAATCTTAAGGGGGCACGGATTGCCAAGAGGTGGCAATCCTGGTGGGGGTTGGTGGAAAGGGGGCGGATGGCTGTCACACTCCCTTGCTGGCCGGTTGCCCTTTGGATTGTCAGCAGGTGGCAATTTTCAGCGCTTCAGATTGTCAGCTGGTGGCAATCTGGGTGGAGCTTGGTGGAAAGGGGGCGGATGGCTGTCACACTTCACTTTGGCCCTATGCTTCCTTGGATTGTCGGTAGGTGGCAATCCCGAGGGGACCAGATTGTCAGCAGGTGGCACTACAACTAGGACTAACAAAATGGGGCTTTTTTTCTGCACTGGTTCTTGGCTTCTTGGTTTAAGGATGTTGAGCACGACAACCAGGGTTAACAAAATGGGGTGTGTTTTTTCTGCTCTGGTTCTTGGCTTCTTGTTTTAAGGATGTTGAGCACGACAACTAGGACTAACAAAATGGGGCTTTTTTTCTGCACTGGTTCTTGACTTCTTGTTTTAAGGATGTTGAGCACGACAACCAGGGTTAACAAAATGGGGTGTGTTTTTTTCTGCTTTGGTTCTTGGCTTCTTGGTTTAAGGATGTTGAGCACGACAACCAGGGTTAACAAAATGGGGTTTGTTTTTTTCTGCTCTGGTTCTTGGCTTCTTGTTTTAAGGATGTTAAGCACGACAACCAGGACTAACAAAATGGGGCTTTTTTTCTGCACTGGTTCTTGGCTTCTTGTTTTAAGGATGTTGCTATATACATGGTACTTGGGCTAATATTTGGTCTCTCTATCGGCGGTCCTGTCGCCTAGCTGGCTTCTTCCAGACCTCTTCCTGTTCTCTTCCAATACCGTCCAAAACTCGAATTCCCCTTTGAAAGTGCAAACGTGCATGCGTGTAATTGCAGCTTGTTGGCCGTCTTCCATTGCCGGCCTCGTTGGTTGTACCTTGGCGCCGGGAGGGAAGCAATGCAAACATGAGATTGACGAACACGAACATGTTTAGTTGCAGCCGAGTCGCTTGCAACAAAAATCAGTCCTTGGCTTGGACATGTTCACTGAATGCATGCGTGGGAAGTATGAGAGTGTGAAGGTCTTCGAAGGCACCCCCCAGCGTACTTAGTACTGGGATGGCCTTATTTTAGGCGCCTTATAAGAGAATGTCCCGCAGCACACGCTCCCTGCTACCCCGATGTTTCTGGTCGGATTGAAACATCCTTCGCCCATATGTGTTCACCGATTGGAGATAGATCGGATCCCCGGTAGTAACGCGCACCCGCGAGCGAATACACGCGTTCCCGTTGACAGGCTGAATGGGAAGCCCCCTTGGCCCTTGGCACTGAGGAAAACAAACCGATCCTCGCGCAAAGCGCGTCCGTGGCACACATCCCAAAAGTATGACCGCGGCCTACTTTTGGAATGCTCAAGGAAGGCACCTCGGCTCTTTTAGGTATTTGGAGGCCGATTCGCTAGTGAACTGGCGCGTACAGCAGTCGCTGTAGTTCAACGCCATTACTAGCTTCCAAAAGACAGTTAGCATGTCCCCTTAGGGGGCGAGCGGAGGGTCCAAAAGCGCATTGTGTGTACGGTTCGGGTTCGGCGTTTTCGGTGTTTGGCTGCCACTTGCCAGGCCTCATAAATTGCCGGCAGGTGGCAATCCTAAGGGGTGTAGATTGTCAGAAGGTGGCAATCCTGGTGGGGGGGGGGGGCTAGATTGCCAACAGGTGGCAATCACACCTGCGTTTTTGGTGCTTAGCTGCCACTTGCCAGGCCTAATGGATTGCCGACAGGTGGCAATCTTAGGGGGTCTAGATTGTCAGAAGGCGGCAATCGTAGCGGGGTACAGATTGCCAACAGGTGGCAATCACAGGGGATCTAGATTGTCAGCAGGTGGCAATCTTAGGGGGTACAGATTGCCAACAGGTGGCAATCTTAAGGGGGTACAGATTGCCAACAGGTGGCAATCACAGGGGATCTAGATTGTCAGCAGGTGGCAATCTTAGGGGGTACAGATTGCCAACAGGTGGCAATCTTAAGGGGGCACAGATTGCCAAGAGGTGGCAATCCTGGTGGGGGTTGGTGGAAAGGGGGCGGATGGCTGTCACACTCCCTTGCTGGCCGGTTGCCCTTTGGATTGTCAGCAGGTGGCAATTTTCAGGGCTTCAGATTGTCAGCTGGTGGCAATCTGGGTGGAGCTGGGTGGAAAGGGGGCGGATGGCTGTCACACTTCACTTTGGCCCTATGCTTCCTTGGATTGTCGGTAGGTGGCAATCCCGAGGGGACCAGATTGTCAGCAGGTGGCACGACAACTAGGACTAACAAAATGGGGCTTTTTTTCTGCACTGGTTCTTGGCTT